TCCTCTCCTCTCCTCTCCTCTCCTCTCCTCTTCTTGCTGTGATATCAAATTTCATTACAGGTATTTATTCTGTCATTCCAGCAATTGATCATTTCCCTAAAATTTATTCATCTGAAAGCAAATACCCCTTTTCTCTATATTCCTGTGCATACCTTGGGGATCAATGGAGACATTTAATTAATCAGGGCTTGGCCTTTAATAAACTAAACACCCTTTCCTACAAGGATTGAGTAATTGCTGAGTTAGTGTAAAGATTCACCAAATGTGAATTTATTTTTTATTAGAAGTTGATTTAGCCTAAGCTCTGCTTCTGAAATGTATTTCACTCTACCAAGACAAGATGTTACAATCTCATAAATACTGCATGCTCAGGCATCCCTTTGATTTCTCACAGGGAGGCAGTGTGCAGCAATTGCTCTGCTGAAGCCTGGTGCATAGTCTGGGTATCAGGTACATGAATTCCCCACACACAATCCAGTTTTCTCCAGTGGCCTTTCATTCACAGCTTAAACTCTGCAAAATGGTAGGACAACAAATCAGCAGTTGCTCCTCAATCATTTTCATGTTGCTGACACTGAGATGGGGAAGTGTTTATCACCCATGGGAAGAAATGTCCTCCAACTCCTGGGGACTTAGGGAAGCTGGTGAGAAGGGAAGGAGCTGCTGGTTGATTCTTCATTCCAGTGCTGTGGTGAGGGCCTGGGCCTGCAGGGAGGGCAGGCTGCACCACAGTTATGCTGTCTCCAATTTTAGCTACACCGAGGTTAACAGAGCACCGAGGGAATCATATATCTGGGCTGACCAGGGCAGGCTCTCAAAGTCAGGGTCTTGCCCTTGTGTCCCAACAAAGGTCGTTTTCCTTGAGATGCTATTTTTATCCAGAAGTTTAAAGAGAGGTTTTCTCCTCAACTCCCTCCACCCTTCTGTGGCCTTGGGAACTCTGATATTCCCAGCACCACAGCAGGAGAGGAGCCTGTTCCTGGCATCAGATTTCATGGATGGCTGTAGGGAAGCAGTAAAGTGTTCCTGGCAGATAAACCCTGAGCGGGGGAAGAGGCTTCTTTCCTTCTTTCTTTTCTTCTTAATCCAGTTATTATCTGATCTGTATCATTTAAATAATTATATATGTTCTTGCTTCTACCAACTATGGAGCTGGCTTGTGATAGCTCTTTAATTCCACCCATTCATACTTAGGCAGTAACTGGCCTAGCAAATGGTACAGCTCCAGGTACAGCTCCCAGGGCTGTGCTTAAGAGCCATCTGACCTAAATCTCACTCATTATAAACAACCATAAATGTTGGTTTTGTTCACTTTTTTCCCCCAAACAACAGCAGTTACAGGAATATGTAATTTTGCTTTTTCCATTTATAACTAACACCCCCCTAGGCATTTAATATAAATGACACTGAAAGATGAGTAAAATAAAATATGGTTTTGATTTCCTTTTTATTTTTATATGGGCCATTTCTGAGGTTTTGCATTTATTGTTATTAGTGTTAGCATGCATTTCTTTCCTTTCTTCAACCTTTGTTCACAGATTTACACTTGATGAGCATGTTGCTTCACTTCAAAAATAAGGTTAATAGCTGCCTCTTCTTAGAAAGGCTTGAAACCTCTAAGCATATGTAGGCATGTAAAAATGAAAGGAGCTGATGAAATGTAAAAAGCATGAATCTGTGCTCAATCAATGCTAACCACTTAGCAGTATTAAATGACAAAATTCTCTATTGGGATAGCTCCCCTTAAAGCTGGGGAGCTATTTTGGCTTCAGGGAACCTTGCTGTGGCAATTTTTATAAGCAAGTATCACATACCACCAAATAGATCTCACATTACAGAGTAGCAGCACATGTATTGTATATAGTCTATAGTGACATAATGATTTATGTGAGTTTAAATCATATGCTGTGTTTATAAATGGCCTTTACCCTGAATGAGGCTGCAAAGCTTGGGCACTTCTCTGATGGTATCGGAGTGATCTTCCCAGTATGGCTTCAAAGCCTGAAGAGGTGCACATTAAACAGCGAAGTTTGGTGTTGGGATGCCAAGGAGCTGTCCGTACCGGGATGCCCAGGAGACAGCACGGCTCCACGGTTTCCTGTCTCTGAAAATCTGCGCGAGCAGCCGCCCCCGGCCCCGGGCTGTCTCCGCTGTCCCCCAGCCCGCAGCAGCTGAGCGGCCGCTCCTGTGCCCGATCCCGGTGCCGGGGCTGCGGGAGCGCTGTGGCCGCTCCAGCCCAGCTGGGTGGCGGAGCCGGAGCCGGAGCGGAGCCCCCGCGGGAGGGCACCGGGCAAGGGGCTGCCGAGCCTCCGCCCGGGGGCACCGCGGGGCTGCCCCGCTGCCCGCCCAGCCCGGCCCAGCCCAGCCGAGGGTGCGGCAGCACCGCCCGCCCCTCCATCCATCCTTTCATCCATCCACGCATCTGTGCATCCATCCATCCTTCCTTTCATCCATCCACGCATCCTCCATCCATCCCTGTATCCACCCGCCCACCGCCCTTCCGCCGCGCTCCCTCTCTCGGGGAGCAGCCCGTGCGCACCGTGCGGTGGAGCCACCGCGCTTCGGCTCCGCGGGGCCGCCGCGCCCGGCCGCGGCTGGAGGATGCGTGTGCGGGGCTGGCGACCTGGCATCGCGTCGGTGCTTGGATCCTCCCTCCTCCCTCTCCTCCTCCTCCTCCTCCTGCTGCTCCCCTCCCTCCCGCTCGCCGCCTGGCAGCGCGGGGCTGGGGAAGTTGCGCTGACACGAGAGATGGCTTCGCAGCGGGAATCGCTTTGAGGAAAGGTCTCCCCCTCCCTCGCCTCCCCCCGGCGCCGCGGCCTCCGAACTGTAAGTGGCAGGAAGGAAGTAAAGTTGCAAACAACCTGCCGCGGCAGGAACTTTGTGAGCTGCTCCAGCTGCATGTGCTCAAGGTGCCTTTGATGTGCGTGCAGCAGCTTCTGGAAAGTGGACTGCAGCTTTCCCACCCGCCGGCCCTCCCTCTCCCCAACCCTTCCCAGCCTCCCCTCCCACCACCGCCACTTCAGCCCGCACACGCAATTTGTTTGAGAAGAAAAAAAACAAAAGTGATGAACGAGAAGTGGTGAATTACCCAAGCGACTTTCCTCCGAGAGCGAGCGAGCCGGGAGAGGAGCCGGGGCGAGCCCCGCGCCCGCAGCGCCGGGAGGGACCCGCGGGGCTGCCGGGCTGCGAGCGCGGCTCCGCAGCGAGATGCAAAAAGCCTCCTCTGCTTGCGTTTGACTTGCGATGCCGGCTCCTCTCTAGAATGCAAACCCTTGCACAGGATGAAAACAGGTTCGTGGCGAATTCTCTTGGAGATGTTTCGCTCCCCGCCGCCGCCGCCACCTTCCTGTCTGAGATGTCAGAGAAGATCTTAATGATGACACGGTGGCAGATACCTCTGCTGTGTACCCACCACTGTTCTTTGGAGATGTTCCGTCAGAGATAAATCTTTTATGCAGCTGTCTTTTCATATCTGTAGCGATTGCTGCATAATTTGCTCTTGATTGCAGTTAAAATATTCTCTTTAGGATCCGCTTCACAAAATGATGCAAAATAAACTCAGATGGGAGAAGTGTGGAATAGAAAGCCGTAAATGAAGTACTGATGGTGGATTGCTCTTCCCCTCTTCTTGTTCCCTCCCCCGCTTAATGCTCTACCTCTAAATGTGAGGCTTTTCTGAACAAAAACATTTGCTACATTTCTGTTTAAAGCAGTGATTCTGGGGGCTCTTTGGCTGTTGTTTTGGGAGCAGCCTCCCATCAGTGGTACTTGCCTTACTGATTGACTTTCTTGAGTGTCTGTGGCTGCCAAGCCCATCAGCTTTTATCTTGTTTCCACCTGTTTTAAAGTGTGTCTTTTTTCTTCTAACACCTTGCAGGTCATTCTTCCAGAATGCCAGAGGAAAGTTCGCCAAAGCGGAGTCCTCAGAACATCCCATACAAGGATCTGCCCCATATCATCAATGCTGATGGGCAGTACCTCTTCTGCAGGTATTGGAAGCCAGAAGCATCTCCCAGGTGAGCACTTTCAAGCAAATGTCCTTTCTACTATCATTAGATACAACTCTGGTAATGCGAATATTGTTTATAGCTTGACTGGCATTACTGGGCTGAGTACATGGAGCTTTATAGAGCCCCTAAGAGAGTTTTCTCTCAGCTGAGAAAGTCTCTACTGTAAAAATTGCATTCTCCAAACCTTAACTTGCTCGAGTCAGCCTTGCAGGTATAAACGCGGAGCTGCTGTCATTCCACGCACAGCTGGCTTGGTTGGCAGTTCAATATTCTGCTCTGGCAGGTGGCTGATGCCTATCAGCAGTAAACAGCTATCCCCAAACTAATAGCACAGGCAGTCAGGGAGGGCACGGATACAGGCTTTGGAATGTTCACTCTTGCTGATTTTCTCACTGTCAACAAACTTAACAGCAGCATCTGAGTTCAGTTTCAATAGTTAGTAGCAGGGCAACAGGCAGAAGGTTTGACTGCATTGCTTTTGGACTGGTGTTAAATTATTTATACTTAGTAAAGGATTCAGGGAGCTCTCTCACTGGCAATTGCAATTTCAAAACTGACCTGTGTAATAAATGCAGACAAAGAATCGGATAGAGAATTTTTTCTAACATTTTGTCATAATTTAAATAATCTCTTTAATAGTTTTCTGTACTAATTATGATCTGATGTGGCTCCCGTAGTTACGATCTTTCTT